CCAAACCCGACCCTCGACCCTCGACCTTCTCCCGGGAGGCGCCTAGCGTGGAGGCGTTTTCACGCGAGCCCTGCAGGTGGGCTGCAGGAGACACGGCCGAGAGACTCCAGATGGCTCACCAGACGAGCGGCGAGGCGGCCGCGCTGACCACGAGGGCCGGCCCCGCCCCGCCCCGTGCAGCCCGGGAAGGGGGCGCTAGCCCACCTTGAAGTGGACGTGGATGTGATCCCGGAGCACGTCCACGCGGAAGAACTTGCGCCCGCAGATCTCACACGTGTACTTCTTGTCGCCGTGCGTCAGCAGGTGCTTGTTCATGTTGCTCCTGCAGGAGAACACCTGCGGGGAGAGGCCTGTGAGCGCGTGCCCGGCCCGCTGCGAGACCGTGACCGGGCACAAAAACGCAGCTTCCCCCCAGGGTTTGAGCTGCAGCAACTCCTCGGTGCTTGACACACAAATAATCACGTGGTGCTAGAATCACGACCGTTTGACCGTTTAAATGGGTGCTTACGTTATAATACAGAATTAACCGTTGTCTAATCTTCACCATAAACGGTATTCTGCTCAGTTTTATTCAGCTCACTTAAATATTTCACTAGGATGGGGCCTACCAAGAAGACTAAAGTCACAGAAACAGCCGCAGTTTTCCGAAAGCGGATGTCAAAAAAGAGTTATGTCCTCAGTGGGTGTTCCGTACGTCATGCACAATTCACACCGCCTCACCCAGTTTCTCAGCGCTTCCTGTCTAAAGTGATGAGTGTGGAGACTCGGTCATTCACCTAGTACTCGTCCACTGAGTGTCCCCTCTGCTGCCCACAGGCCAGGTGCAGCCCTGCGTCCACCAGCAGAGCTCAGTGGACAAAACCGGCAGCAGAGACGACCCCCAGGGCCCGCACTGATCTGAGAGAGCGGCCTTCGCCCCAGTGGCCGAGTGACCTGGAGAGCAGGCCTCCTTAGAGCTCACCCCGACCACGCACGGTCTCAGGAAGCGAACACACCATGAACGAAAGGGACGCGATTCACGGGGAAGAGAGGCTAACGCCTTCACGGGACGCTGCTTTTCAAGATCTGCAGGTGACTTGCGGCCAACAGCCCTGAGACCCCAGCCCAGGGAGGCTGGGCGGGAAAACGAGTCAGCAGGGCAGGAAGATGGGCCTCCAGGGAGGGACGGAGGTTGCAGGTGTCCCCCGGCACATGTGTTCTCCAGGCAGACGGGGCTGGAGACAGGATACTTGGAAGCAATGAAGAATTCAGTTCTAGAGACATTCAGGCTCTGGTCATCTGCTCTCCTGCTGTGGAGGAAGGCGCTCAGCCTTGTCTCCCTCCGGCCACGATTTTCCACTAGCGCCACCCCGGCACGAGCACTCCACCTCCAGCACCCCGAGCCACGTGCCAGTGAGAGACCTCTCGCCTCCTGCCTGGGCCCTCCGTGAGTGTTCAGTGAACATTTCACAGAATAAAAGGTGTCTGAATGTCAGTCACACGGCTGGCTGGTTTCATGTACACCATCTCCCAAGGACATGGAAGGGACACGGTGCCACCACTCCTCAGAGCCGGTGGTCAGTGGGCAGAATGAGAGGGACACGTGAACACGGGGCAGCCTCCACCCACCACTGCCCGTGAGCGGCCCGGCCTGGCCACCCGGGCTCAGGCGTGTGTTCCGTTACCCCAGCTCCACTCCCCACTCCAGCCCCCAAACCCACACTAAGTCAGAGCCCCAGCGTGGAGCCCACAGGCCAGGCTACCCTGGGGACCTGTTGCTTTGTGGTTTGAAAACAATCAGGAAATTTCGCAAAAAACACGGGTTTCCGTGTTCTCTTGAAAAGGTCAAAAGATCTGGCAATGCTGCCACGTGCCAGCTGGCTGGGCCGGGTCACAGCTGGCCGTCCGCCCGGGCCTTCACTTCCGGCGGCTGCTGTCGCTCCAGGGCCACGTGGCTCACGTGGGCTGCGTGTGGCCGAGAACCTGGGCGAGCCGAGTCACGGGAGGTGAGCCTAAGAAACGAGCAACCGCACCTCCAGCCGAGACCAGGCGTTTGTGCGCAAAGACCACCGCCACCTCATGTGGTTAGCTGACGTGGCCTGGATGGCAGTGCCCGGACAGTGTTCCCTGTGCAGGGCTGACGTGGCCCGGGGCTGCTCGGATGGGGAGTGTACTCCGGACGTTTAGGGCCTGCTGAGGAGTCAACCCCCTCTGACGGCCAGCCCGACGCCCCGGACAGATCTGCTCGCTCGGGGCGCCAGCATCCGTGGACCAGGCACGGAGCACACGGCTGTGGCTCAGTCAGTCTCTCACTGGGAAATGCTGCAGAGGGGACCAGTGCTGACCAGGAAAATAAACCCGGACATCCCGTCTCCGCCAGAGGCACGTGGCTCGGGGTGCTGGAGGTGGAGCGCTCGTGCCGGGGTGGCGCTAGTGGAAAATCGTGGCCGAAGGGAGACAAGGCTGAGCGCCTTCCTCCAACAGCAGGAGAGCAGATGACCAGAGCACCAAGTGAGGGGACGCCGCGGCTCAGGACACCCAAGTACCCACTCGATCTTAACATTCCCCCGCCCCCGCCACACGCAGTGCATAGAGCTCTGAGTCTTCCCATAAGAAAAGGTGAGCTGTGTCCGGGCCCCGGCCCCAGCCTGCGTTACCTTGCCGCACACCGGACAGCCCGACGGCTCCTTCCTGTAGCGCACCAGGTTCTCGGCACCGCCGGCCTCCGCGTCTTCCCTCTTCACCCGCCGCACTCCTGAAACGCCCCGCCCCCCGCCCGAGAGAGTCAGTACACACGAGACCTTCCCGCATCAGCCAGGGGCACCTCCAGCTGACGGAGGACAGGGCTGCCCACGGGTGGGACAAAGGAGCGAGCGGGGTCATTCGTCCATGACGCACCGGCGCTCTGACACGCGACCCGGGAGGGAGGGGCAGGCGGCCCGCACCGCCGACTCCGGAACCCGGGCCGCACCTGAAACTTGGAAATCCAAGGGCAGCAAGTGTCCTGCGCTTTCCACGCTGAGGAGTCAGAACGAGCTACTGGTAAGGGAGGTGTCTGTGCTCAATCTAAAGCTCAAGGGAAAGGTGGGGCTCTCAGAGGCGTCTCTAAGTAGGAGGGCATTTTTATTAAAAAGATACTAATATTCATCCTTCAAATTAAATCAGCCCAATAAGGATCAAGGTAAAAAGTCAGACAATAATAAATTTCTATGGTTTTAAGGCAAAAGTGTTCATAACTGGGATCGAAACAGACTTAGAAGTTCTCAGGAAACAGGGAATCTCTGAATAAAAGAAAGAGAGAAGTTCCTTCTCACGGTCTCTCTACACCACTGAGCCGTCCTTCCGGGACATTCCTGCACAGCTGGGCTCAAGAACGGCCAGCACGCTGGCCTGGAGACAAGTACGTGACTCCCCAAAAAGCTCCCAGCGGCGTGAAGCACACAGGTCTGAACTGGGCGTGGATTACGCTTCAGTATAGAGGGAAAAACCATGGAACGGCCACACAGCATTCGCTCATTCCAGAGGAAAATGATCTGAGTGCGTCAGCTGCAAAATGTTGTAAGATAAAGTTGTGAAATGCAACCCACGTATCTGTCGATCAGGAAACACCTGACTTCCGGCAGTAATGGCGGCACTTACGGGCCCGCCTGGGGCTTTATCATCAGGGTCCGGTTCAACCAGCCCAGCAGGTCGGCACAACGGCCATCCCCACAACACAGGTGAGGAAACTGAGGCCCGGCGGCATGACCAAGGCCGCCCGGTCACTAAGTGGACACCAGGCGCTAAGTGCCGCACCTGATCACAGATGGAAGGGGGTGGAGCTTATGAACCCACGTGAAGAAGGGCCAGGTAAAAGGGCAGAGTGCCAAGGTGATGCAGGACGTGACCTGACTCCAGGCTTGTTTTAAAAGCCGTGAAGACACGTGTACGTGCACAGCTGTGCGCGATGGTCAGACTTGCTAGAGCTTCGTTTTCTGGCCTTTTTCCCCCGACAAGCATGTTCACTTACAATTCTTTGTAAAATGATTCTTTTTCAAACTTTCATAACAAGGTGCTCTGGTCAGTGAGTGCTTCTTACAGAGGCTGGTCAGCAAGAGGGCAGTGGGTTTTAGGGTAAAAAACTAAAGTGTCAAGATCACTGAAACTAAAATGCTACTTTGAAAGAGGGTCTTTGAAAAAGCCTCCCAGGTAGGGTAAGTGTTCAGGACACACCTGTGGCCCAAGGTCCCCGGTCTCTCTCTTCTCTCGGGGCCTCTGCCCTCCCCTGCACAGCTCAGGGTCTGCCCTGTGGGGTCGCCCGCAACCCCACCTCATCCCTCACTGTGCTGCCTCCCGCCTCCCCCC